GCACGTCACGGCGGTCCGTGCGAGACTGGGAACGACACGGTCCCATATAACATGGTACGACACGGCCGGTCCGTGCGGGCCTGGGGACGACACAGTCCCATATAGCGCGGTACGGCCGTCCGTGCGGGCCTGGGGACGACACGTGACCGTAGCGCCCGCCCGGCGCGCCGGCCGTGCTACGATCAATAGAGCGAGCAACGGCCGCCGGCGGCGGCAGCACAGCGGCGGCAGGCCGTACCTATGGAGGCTCAACGGGTCGGAGGGACGGAGGGAACTCCTCTTAACGAACTTTATTAGTAGAGCTAGGGTGGTCACTAGTCCTGTTCTGGATTTGAATTACACGCTGTGGCAACGCCATGGGAATGCTTTTACAATATCGATATTATTGGAAGAGCTAATGTTTGATCTGCGTTGTCTGCGAAGACTACCGTTTTACAATGCCCATGCTGATATTATACCATTTGTGAGGTATTTTGAGGTAATAAATATATTAATACTGGCATCGCCTTCATTTGTCAGTTAATCCAATGACTCGCATTGTATTGGCAGTCATCACAAGTGCGCAGAACACAGTACAGGAGCATCCTATATCCCACTGTTCAGCAGACATTGACCTGTGATCATCTTCACTGCCACCAGTATCACTCTAAGAGCAAACCGTCCTATTTTCCTGCCCCTCGCCAACGACCAGCGACCAGTGACCTGAGGCCATCCCCACTCTTAGCATTACCCAAGACCGCTAGCCACCACTGATCGACTATTCCCGCACAAACACTCACCGACCCCAGAAGAGCATTCACCTCTGCCTAATTAACCTCCGCCAGGACTCCCGCATACTAACGCCTGCGGGGAGCGGGCGGCGCGCAAAGTTGTGAGGTAGGCCGCGGGCACACAGCGGTCGCTTTAGGAAGGGTCCACAAGTTGGCGGCGACTCTGGACGAGCTGCTGCACACGAGATGGCTAATCACGCCCCCATTCAGTGCGCGGCGGGGAAGGGAGTGGGAGGTGGTGGGCGGTGATGGGGGCGTCTGGGATGGAGATTACTGAGCGGGGTCAACGGGTTCAATGCTGTCAGTAGTGGGAATGGTGCGCAGTTCATGAACAGTCTCGTGGCTGACGAGAGTCCGGAACTATTCGGTGGAACGGAAACCATAGTAAACTTTATGTTATCTCACCATTCAAGATAACAGGCGGTGTTACCTTACTTGTTTTCAAAACACGCACATTAGAGAGCGAAAAATGATCCAACAGAGGGAATAGGTGCTGGCACTTTCACCGAATTCACTTATTGCAACGCGTGTGCACAATGGGCAAACTACGTTCTGAGTGAACAGCAAGCTTTCCATTTCCTCAACGGTGGAGACAGCTAACTGGCCGAATCATGAAAGTTCGATATTTATATAATTCACTTAACTTATCGAAACGCCACAAATCACCGCACACCGACATATCATTACAGGAGCTTTTGAACCCTGTCCACCACAAAGGGTGGAATTATGGATAACTTTCTAATTGCCAGTTTCAACGGCCCACGCTGCTCAGCGCCTAGATTCCCAGTCTATAGATAAACCTAACTCCCCATTTGGGCGCCTAATTCGCTCAGAACTGCCATAGCAGAGCTTCTTTTGACGTTATACATTCAGAGCCTTTTCAACGACGGAGAGAAGCATTAGCTGCGGCTATTTGGGGTGACTGACCAAGGCTGATGATCGGTGGTCGTAGCCACAGTGGGAAAGTTGGAGTCCAAAGCGGTCGCCGTTCGCTCGCTGATACACGCCCCAGCTGGGCCTAGCTCTGGATCAATATAGAGTGGATTGCCTATTGATTCAGGGAGCTCAGCGGAACAGGATGGCGGAAATCGAGGACGCTGATTGTCACATTTCGTCGGGGGAATATATGAATATAAAGCGTGCTACGTGATGTCGCATTGGAGTTGACGTATGTGATGTTTCACAGCTGTTTTTACATTAATCGATATCAATCAAATGACGAAGCACTCTGGTGAACAGCATTATATGTAATATATTTAATGGAATAACCTTCTGTTCAAAATTCTAAAAATTGCCAAAAGTTACCAAAAACACTTGAATATATTTCGGAGGCGTTCCTTCATCGGTTCAAGTGATAAACATTTATAGCGCCACATTTGCCGTTAACATATCTGATCCATGTTTTTAAATATAAATCTCGCGTCTAGGTTGAGATGTGTCTTCTAATTTACATCGACAGAATTACAGAATTACATCGACCAGCACTCAACACAAACGTGGCATCATGGACGATCGTGTAAACCGTCAAGTAGTGGTGTCCGTTACGGGTCCCCGGTAGGAGCTAGAATACCACACGGTTATTGATCATAGGCTCTGGTATGAGACGTGTTTCGATTTGTTGAACGACCCCCCCCCCCCCCCTCCTACACACACACACTTCTTATGTGTAGCGATTATTATTGTGTGTATTTCTCTCTCTCTTATTCGACTGCTCACCTATAATATGCTCATGCCCCTCTCTTTCATACTTCATTCATTCGTGCATTCATTCAAGTCATTCATTCGTTTGCATACTTAATTATCCTGTCAGGCAGCGGTGTTTACTTTTGGTAGGCATAGTACTAATGTGACCTGCCTAGAATTCCCCCCCGTCATCCCTGCCCGCTTTCTCTCCCCCCTATATTGTAACCTATTAACATTGTAAGTGTGAATAGTATCAACTTTATGACCTATTAACCTGTTGAGTGTAGGAGCTAATTTTGTTCGTACGCTGTAAAGGTAATTCTGTCGATGTAAATTAGAAGACACATCTCAACCTAGACGCGAGATTTATATTTAAAAACATGGATCAGATATGTTAACGGCAAATGTGGCGCTATAAATGTTTATCACTTGAACCGATGAAGGAACGCCTCCGAAATATATTCAAGTGTTTTTGGTAACTTTTGGCAATTTTTAGAATTTTGAACAGAAGGTTATTCCATTAAATATATTAATCGATATCAATAAAAACAGGTCTTACATAACAAACATTAGGCAATTTGATAATTCTTCCCTGGGACTTAAGCGATTGAGTTTAACCGCAATCACAATGCCTCTTGCGCAAACTGTTTTCCATCATTCAAAAGAAAGCCGTTTCATTTCAATAACAACTGGCGCCGGCATGCCGGGCAGCCCGACAGACCACGTCGCGACGTAGAGTCGCCAAAACCATTTCAGCTAGACGCCTGGACCCTGTGACGCCCCCCTTCCCCGTCCCCGGAGGAATAAGCAGTTCCCACGAGCATCTGACATACCCCGTAGACTTCCAGGAGCTAGCAGACCTTGCCAGTCTCTGGGAGAAGCGGCAGTGGATCTCCTTGTTATTTGGTCACGCCACAGAATCATTAAGTGACCCCGGGGCCGGGACCTACGGTTACACTTAATGGGTGTCGACACTCAACATTAGCACAGACGACACGATGCAGGTGTCTGTTCGATTCAGGAGGGTTAATTCAGTATCGACAGTGTCGAGCCAGCCCCGATGATAGTCTGGCCAACAGAACGTCACCGCCTTCTCATTCCATGCCAATGTGTCCGCAAGTTTGCTACATACATACATTTCGGTATGTCTCAACCAGGACAGCAAGCACCTGTGGCAAATCTGAGTGTCTCATAAACTGATGCGTTGGCAGATACCGAGATAACCTAGGACTGAGACTACTGAGACTTTAGACAGTATGAGACTAAGATGAATTAAAACTGAAGTTACATAAGGCTAGTCTGATACCATATCCTTGCAGGCTAACCTTTCACAACACCGTCCACGACCATCACAAAATAACCTTGAATCTGACTGTCCACCCAACAGAAGCAGCAACTTGTGCCTTCCTCTACCCTGGTCGGCTTAGAACCCAACACTGCGGTGTCACCACTAGCTCGGCACAGCCCCGGAGCAGACATCATCTGATTAACACTGCTAAAATACGTCCCCCGGCCGTCTCCCCGGGGGCAGCGCTGTTTTTATACGGGGTGGCAGGCTGACAGGAAGCCTCCGAGCGGGATCTCGGTGAGGGATTGAGGCTAATCCGGACTGAGAATACGAGGAAGTTTCATTAGAGCAGTGCTCTTATAAATGCAATGGGATGAGTGTGTTGATTATAACAAATTGCATCTACGAGACATGAATAACTGCAGGAATGAGTGATAAACAAAACCGACCAAAGTTGAAAATTAATTTATCATCAACCACTGCCATGACGATATTCAAAAATCAGCAAGTCAAAGAACAAGGATGTTTCCTTCATCAACCATTCAATAAATAATAAATGCCGACTGCGAATATCTTATCGCCTACGGAGCTACCTCACTAACTCCAGAATCTTCACCACAGCATTTCACAACAGCCAGATCAACAACCTCAATCCTACCATAGCGACTATCGTCCCACCCTTCCCTGCTCTTTTCTTTCCCGCACCGCGAGTAATGCGTGTCCCGTTCATCAACAAGACACCACGTCACATGGACCACCCTAACGCCTGCCACTATGCGATGAGCTCGTACCTCGTCTAATGAGGAACTTCCCTGGCGCCGAGAAAACTGCGACTAACTAGCCAAACTTTAACGAGACGAACCATCAAACTTGTTTAACTACCGGTAGGCTAGGGCACGGCGCGGAAAGCGTTGTCGCTGGGTGTATCAGGGTGGCGACGAAAGCAGGATGGCTTTTAGCGAACCAAACCAAGTCAGCTGGATAGGATTCACGGTTTATTAAAGTATAAATATATGGATATTGGTGTACTCATTTTCGGAACACATAAGTCAGAAAGATTAATGAACTTTATTGTTTACCCCTTACGCCATTTCCTATCTCCTCTATGTGTGGCATATACTAGCGCCTAGGTCTAAACATACAAATTCACAAAATATGCATCGCCCTAGCAAAAAGCATAGAAAAACTTCTGCTCGCTGTGAGATTCGAACCCATGCTCGTCCTCCATCCCTGCACTCGTGCAGCGTCCCCCGACTGACCTTTTGACCCTGTCGACCCGGCTGAGCTGGGGCTGTAGCGGTGGACGGGCGCGGGTCGGCTGCTGGTCTGTACGGACCACGTGACCAACCGGCACAGAGTGCCACCGCTTGACCTCGGGCCGGTCCCGCGGCTCAGAGGTCAGCCTGGGGACGGACGAAGGTCAGGTCAGTTCAGGTCAGTGGGGTTAGAGGTCAGTCTGCCACCGTTTGACCTCGGGCCGGTCCCGCGGCTCAGAGGTCAGCCTGGGGAAGAACGGAGGTTAGGTCAGTTGGGTTAGAGGTAACAGGCTGCCAACAAACGGGAGGTCAAGTCAGTAAGGCAGGTCAGCAAACTGCGAACGAATGGATGTCAGGGCAGTGGAGTCAGCGGTCATTGTCAGTGAGGCCAGCGAATCAGTCTGTGGACAAATGGGAAGAACGCTCGGTGAGACTACAGGTCAGTACACCTGCGGACGAACGCAAGGTTAGGGCAGAGGGGTTAAAGATCAAGTTGCAGACCAATGGGCGGTCAGAGAGGTTAGCTAACCGACTAGTGAAGTCAAATGCGAGATCGAACGGCAATGTCAGAAGTTTAAGGTGGAGTCGAAAATTCGGTCAGTGACCTCAAAGTTCCCTGTCTAGATAATATTTCCTGGTTCCTTATCGCCAGTAAAATGTAACAAGGCACTGGAGCAGAATAACATAGATGACGGAGGTAATGGAAAATCGACTGAGACGGTGTTACACGGGCGTTACAAGAGGACTCAGACAGATCAGCACTTAATACTGACGAGTGAGACTGGTAGACCTCACTCCGACGGAATAACAAACCGCTAATACCGGGTTACACTGTATTAGGCGTGACGCTTAACGCCGACAGAGCTTCGACAGACCCTGGACATGGCAACTAGGTGACATCGTTTTAATTTATTGACACTGTCGCAAGATTCACGAGGAAGAGTTACGTTGCAAAAACGGGCATTTTCTAACCATACCAACTTCCGGTCTCTAGCATAGATAAGCTCGGCCAAAACACAGCTGCGATGTTAAGAGTCGCTGGCAAAATATCTGCTCTGGAGCTACAAACATTGGGCCCAGCAACATTCATGAGACTCTCGCTAGTCACCGAACACTAGAACCAATCATATAATGTGTATTGTGACTGTGAGCTCCTTTCATAATACAGATACCATCAAATCCCATCGTGACGCAATGTTTCATCCCCGCTCACCCGCACTCTCCCCAGACTTTCCCCAGGACATCCGTCTGTTTTCCTCTGACCCTGACCAACCGCTCTCACCCGTTCCCGTTCCTAGCAGCGCAATCTCTCCGCCGCCCCGGGCTGCGTCCCCCAGATGAGCGTCTCGGCCTGAGGCTACCGGCGACCGAGGACCAATCACCGCCGCCTCGGGGCAGAGGTCGCGCGGCCGACCAAACAAGACGACACTGCCGCCGCCGCAGGGTCAGATAGCAGACCGGGGAGATCGCGGAAAAAGAACTGCGCCAAGGCAGGGGTGACGACAGTAATAGACCGAGCTGGATAGTCCTGAATAGGAAGCTGAGCTGCGCCAGCAATGTCACTAAGTCGCAAAGTTTTTGTGTAGGGGGCATTCCACGTCAAATCGAACAAAAATCGGCTGTTTTGCACCTTACCATTAGCGATTTCATTATAAATTTGTGAGCGAGTTCCTGTGTCGCCCCGGACATTACATTGATGTTTTTTGCACATTCTGACCACAGGTCTTCTAAATATAGGGCATCAAATTTTTACAAAAAGTTGCATCTTTATATTTTTGAACGACCATAACTTTGGTTGTATTTGCTTGATTTGAATGAAATAAACCTTACTGTTTAGGTAATTTCTTAAGCATTTGTTTAGAATTGCATCGACTTAAATATATGACCTTGAAATTTGCTTAACTCTGTTCTTAAGCACAAAAATTGAAATAGCAAAAAACACGCCACCTTCGATTTGGCTCATTTTCATATATTTTATTGCCTACCATATTCTTAACAACCTGTGAAAAAATTAGAGTGGGCCATTCATAAGTTTTGAAGAAAATGGCACATATGCAAACGTATGTTAGCACGCGCAGTGGAGGGGGAAGAGTGAATTTCGCCCCACCCCTCCTGTTTTTCGCCAATATCTCATAATATTGATGCGAAATTACTTATGGCTACCTTCCAGAACTGAATTGCACATCTCATCGTGCAAGCAATAAGAAAATCGGTTCACAACTGTTCTAGTAATAGCGGTGTAAAGTGAACATCCTGTCGCCGCGGCGACGCGGCGACTCGGCAGCCGGCGCCGACCGCTACACGCCGCCTGAATTGTAGACTGTGCCGGGACAGAACGGAACGGTTCCGTCTTTACATCGCGCTCCTTACCGCTGATTACGTTCGATTCGCGTCAAATTTTGTGAGAAGACTAAGAAATGTACAGGCAATCTTATGGTGAAAGAATTCTGAAAATAGGTTGGTAAACAATTGAAATATGAACGTGTAAACACAAAATTGTGACTGCTGCGTTTCCCGCGTCGGCCGATCCCGCCTCAGCCGGCGACATGTTACTCTTAGCAGGACTCTAACTGCCATATTTATTATCGGATTAACTAGAAATTCCCCATACATACTCAAAAATGTATGTTTTTTTCGTATAGTGAAGATCAAAAGACGTGAAGATATCGTTGCGTGATAATGTTTTCGTTGAATTTATTTCATGAAGCATTTCCACACGGCTCAAAATTCACCGCAAAATACCGTTTGCTTGAGACACTTTTACAATGGAACGTGAATGCTTGACTACGATGACTATGCATTTCCATTCTCGCAGAGTTTGGGATATCACTAATCAGCAATCATTCATTTCAGAAAGTGTACACAAGCAAGCATGTCTTGACTCTGTCTTTCAAGGTCACGCGCGGTTGCGTGATGTTGATGCATGAAAACGGCGTTTGCCGCGAAAGTTATGAATGGCCCACTCCAATTTTTTCACAGATGGTTAGGAACATTGTGACGGACATAATATGTAAAAAATACTCAAATCGAAGGTGGCGTGTTTTTTGCTATTTACATTTTTCTGTTCTAATTCAAGGTCAAATGCATTTCAAGGTCACTTCAATTTAATTTTATAATTAAAAAACAAAGCCTTATCAATTGCCTACAAGACCCTGTTAATATCATTTTGATACCAGAAAAGGAACCAGAGTTATAAGCATTTAAAAAAATGATGTGTGGCATTTTTGGCTATATTCGATGACCTATATCTCGGCGATACGTTATCAAATTTCGAAAATATTATACGTAACTCAATTTTGAACCATGCCCAGTCTGCCTACAAATTTTCAGAAAAATCGAAGGGGATGACGGATTTCGGTGTTTGATTTGACGTGGAATGCCCCGTAGGGAAGATCATTGCCAAGCTTTTAGTTATGCGACCAAACATGAGCATGAACACGAGAAAAGGCATCTAGGGTCCGATCTGATCAATCTTGATTTGGTAACTTATCGGTCATTAGTTAGACCAACTCTTGTTGATTCAATCGGATCATAGCTGGCTTATATAAGCATGAGAAATGCCGATGATCAATGCAGATCATGGTTTCATAGGCCGCATACCTAATGAGATCCGCAAAGATCCTAAGCCTTTGTCTTTGGTTTGTATTCAAAATGCACAGATACATAATGCAACAAACAATGTTTTCTCGGATCCAACATGCTCTGAAATGATTCTAGGACATCATTAACTGAATTTAAATTGTCATAAACATATCATCTGAGATCATAAATTCAACTCTTCTATCCCCGCATATGTCTGCAAACGGCTGACTACAACGCAACGTCTCGAGGTAAACGCTTGTACCGGAAAATACGCAGTACTACATCCGCCGTTGTACCACTCCAGCTTGCATCATTGTGTTGCGTACAAACGCTGATTTTCCATCAAATATTGAGCTGTCGTGCCATCGACCGGTCCAGGGACAGCCCGCCGGAGTCGAGCCACGTGATAGCCGGTCTCTTCATTTCCCGAGCGGATACATATTTCACACGTAAACCCTCCTCATTTCCCCCCGGCACCGTCCCATGGGTTCGATTAGAAGCGCCGTTAAAAGTGGGGTCGTGTATTAATGCGTCAGCCACAGTACTCCGCGCCGTCACCGCCCGCAAAGGTTGCTAGGGGAACGGGATAGTTCGATTTTGGGAAGGATAAAAACTGCTCTTGTCAGACTCGGCCGAGTTGTAGGTGTAGAAGCGGAGAAATATAAGCTATTGTGATTACAGTTTTTACCTTCTTGAAAACCACCTTCCGATTTCCTAGGCATAAATTCAACGCAAAAAGATTGGGCTCTGAAGCGTACATATCTACTCTACCGCACAACCTTCCAGATTTTTCCGATAAGACGTTTTGCGGCCAAAACAGGAAGTGAAATGGAACAGAAACTCGTGAAAAATGCCACTTCAAATACAGACCTAGCTTCTACAGACCTCCGGAAGCACTGTAAGAGCATGAAGAGCACCAACATCAAGGCATGTCGGAAATTTTAACAGACTCCGAAAACATATTGACAGCTCCCGGAATACAGAAGCATATACAAACAGACAGACAGACATATAAGGCATACATAAATCAATACAGAAACAGACACACAGAAACACACAGATGCAGACAGAGAGACAGACACATACCACAGGATACATACAGACACAAGCAGACACACTGAGACAGAGAGACAAACAAAAAAAGACAGACAAGCAGAGGCCCACAGATAGACAGACATACACAGTACACACATACCCAGATACACAGCCACAAAGAAAAGCAAGCGGACATACAGCCAGACGCATACTCAAAGCACAGACACCGACCAACACTCAGGCAAGCACACTCACAGACACCCACTGCCCACAGACAAACATACAAGCACACAAGCGGTCACACACGCACAAAGGCACACCCATCCTCCACCCTCACCCACACACGGCGGCTGCACAGACCCACACCCGAGCCCTGGCCGGAGTGTTTCCTTCCGGCCCCGTTTCCGACGGGCCTGCCAGCGCCGGAAGTGGCCCACCTCCCAGAGCGGCGCCGCGCCCCGGATCGCCGCCGGAGCGCTCCGGATTCCGGAGACAGCGCCCGAATCCGGAGACGGCGCCCGAATCCGGAGACGGGGGCTGAGAGCGAGCCACGCGGGCGCTGGTGCTTGTTCGAGAACGGCGCTCATACGCACTTATTGTGAAAGGAGATTGGGAAGTTTAGAGAAGAGGAGCATTCTCAAACCGGTTGAAAAATGATGTAGCTACGTTCCTTTGTTGAGCGGTGCCAATGATGGAAAATGTAACTGTATGCTATGATCTTTATAACGGACACTGGTGTTGGATATTTAGCGTATGCCGTAGGTACTCTCTGCCTCTGTAGAGTAGATGGCGCTGGTGTTTGTAACACTTTTCGTAAACCTTGACGTTGATGTCGTGTGTGTCACGTGCCGAGGCGGAAGTGACGCCGTTTTGTTGTGTTTTGGGCACGCCACTTCTCTGACTGCCGGACCCATGTGCGGGTCGCTGTCAGTGTCAGCCAAATTTAACGTACTTGGGATGCGGAACATTAGTAACCTTTGAGCTCTTTATGCGGCTGGCCTTTGTGCCTTTTACTACTCCGCTTGATTCTGGGATCGTGATTGCCTTGCAATGCAAATGTGTGGCAATACAAGTCAAGTGAGACTTGAGAGTGTGAAAGTTTGAACCGGACTGAAGTCTTTAAGTAATATTGGTGCCGAAACTCGGGGATTTCGATTTGCTGGTTGCTCATGTGACCATGTCTGTTGAGGAGCTAAAAAGGGCTCGTGTCGCTGCTCGTGGATGGCTGAAGAGAGCAGTAATCAAGATTGATCAGGCTGTGGCCTCTGGCGCAGATGATGTTGAGCTCAACAGTATTATCAGTGAGTTCAATCTGAGGCTTGGTAATCTTGATGCAGTGCAGCAGAAACTGGAGCTCTGTCTGGATGAGTCTGAGTTGGAAGAAGACATCTCGAGAGCATCTGAGGTTCGTGATGCTGCATTGGAGTCACGCTTGCGAGCTCTGAGGTTTGTCGACAAAAGGTCTGCTAAATCTTCGAAGCCAGGTGAGACTGATCCCCCTCTCTCTGTTGCAAGTCAGAACGTAAAGCTACCAACACTGCAGCTTCCCAAGTTTGGTGGGCAAGTTCTTGAGTGGGAGCCCTTCTGGGACCAGTTTGTGGCCAGTGTTGATATTTCTGATTTGCCAGAGGTGTCCAAGCTTGTCTATCTCAAGTCCCTGTTGTACGGTGATGCTCGACAAGCTATAGATGGTTTGGCTGTGGTCAGTGAGAACTACAAAGTAGCCTGTGATATTCTGAAGGAACGATTTGCAAGACCTGCTCAGATTATTTTTGCTCATGTGGAAAAACTGCTGAAACTTGGTGTGCATGACAGCAAAGACCTGAAATCTGTTCAAGATAGCTTGTTGCTGCATATCCGTAGCCTTGAGAGACTTGGTGTTGGTGGGGAGACGTACGGAGTGATTCTAACCCCTCTGGTTTTGAGTCGCCTGCCTGACTCTTTCCGTTTGGAGTGGGCTCGGGGGAGTGCTGGCCGTGAGGGTGACTTAAACTTTCTCCTCGACTGTCTCAAGGCAGAGATTGAGCGACTGGAGCGGTCTCGAGTCCTGGAGGGCAGCTCTGTCCCTCTGGATCTGGAGCAGAGACTGCCGGCTGCTCAGAAGAGGAATGGACGTCGGCCCCAGCCGGCGTTTCAGCGCCGTCCACCTGCTTCAAGAGGACCTGCTCCTGCCGCAGCCTCTGTGCTGCACTCTGCTGCTGTGCCGGGTGACCAACCCGCACCTGCTCTTCAAGAAGCTACAAGAGTCGTCTCTACCTCGTCTGGTTGTGGTTTCTGCAGAAAACCACACCCCACAGATAAGTGTCCTAAGGTAATTGGCCTCCCAGTTCCACAAAGACTGCACAGAATTAAGTATGCTGGCCTGTGCTTTGTGTGCTTGCAGTCAGGTCACAGAGCCCGAGAGTGCTCTCAGTGTTGTGCTGAGTGTGGTGGCAGACACAATCAGTTGTGCTGTTTTCGTCTTCATGGTGTAAAGTCAGAGCCCTCTGCTCAGAGTGTGTTGACCACAGCAGAGGAGCAGGTTTCAGGAGCTGCTCTGCCTTGTGGTGTTGAAGCGAAAACTAGACAGTGTACTGTTCTACCCACTGCCAAAGTGACTGTTCAGGGGTCTAAGGGAGCTGTGGAAGCTACATTGCTGTTTGACTCTGGATCTGATCGTACATATGTGACTGAGTCGTTGGTGAAACGTGTTGGTGCTCAGTGGCTGACCTCCCAGAGTGTGAACTTTGCTGCCTTCGGTGGTGGCAAAGCCTCTCGAGGTCAACGTGATGTGTACAAGATGTGTGTCAAAGGCATTTCTGCATCTGATTGTGACATGAAGGTGTTCCCAGCTGTGGCCGTGCCGGTGATCTGTGCACCCTTGTCTCGTCCAACTGTGCCTGATGTGTGTGTACTCGAGTTCAAGGAGCTGACGTTAGCTGACGGTGACTTCAGCAGGGACCTGTGTGTTGACATTTTGGTTGGCCTTGACTGCTACTGGAGTTTGCTCAGGTCAAGTGTCTTGATTGGTTCCTCTGGTCTTGTCGCCCAGAACTCCTGCTTTGGCTGGGTCGTCTCTGGTGCAGTGACCGATGCGCAGTGCAGCGCCAGCCTGGTCTCCTGTCGCCTCCTCTGTCTGGGCGACCTGAGGGACACAGAGGTGAGAAACCTCTGGGAGCTGGAAGGTGTTGGCATCAGCTCCAAGGAGAGTGAGTCTCATGCTGAGGACGATGCTGTCTTCAAGCAGTTTGAGTCTTCTGTGAGGTTTGAGGGGGGCAGGTACGAGGTAGGCCTTCCGTGGAAGGGTGATTCCTCTGTGACTGAGCTACAGCCTAACCGCTGTTCAGCTGAGAGAAGGCTTCAGAGCCTGTCTCGTCGTTTGAGTGGAGACGAGGAGCTCAGGGATGAGTATGACCGCGTGCTACAGGACATGGAGTTGTGTGGCGTGATTGAGGAGGTCCCCGAGTGTGAGCTTGTATGTTCCTCTGGTGTAGAGTTCTACATGCCTCATAGACCTGTAGTCCGCCCTGGTAGTGTGAGCACCAAAGTTCGTCCTGTGTTCGATGCTTCAGCTTGTGGACCCACCGGGGTCTCTCTCAATGACTGTCTGGAAGCTGGGCCGTCCCTGATTCCCAGTCTCACTGATGTGCTTCTACGGTTCAGGAGGCACAAGTATGCAGTCACTGGTGACATAAGTAAGGCGTTTCTCCAGATATCTGTGCGGCCAGAGGATAGGGACTGTCTCCGTTTTCTGTGGGAGCAGAATGGTGAAGTGCGTGTGATGCGCTTTACTCGTGTCCCTTTTGGTGTTACTTCCTCTCCGTTTCTTCTGAATGCCGTGATTAAGCATCACCTTGCCAGCCGCCCCATGTCCAGGGTGGTCTCTGAGCTGCAGGAGAACCTGTACGTTGACGATTGGTTGTCTGGTGCAGATTCCGAAGTTGAGGCCACTGAGATGTTCCTGGAGGGCAGGTCCATCCTTTCAGAGGCTGGTATGACGCTGACTAAGTGCCACTCGAACAGTGACCTTGTGCTGCAGTCCGCTGGCAGCTCTCAGGAAACTGAGACCGGGCTGAAAGTACTTGGTGTGAACTGGGACCCGGCTGCGGACGTGCTGAAGTTTGGGGGTGTCCACGTTCCGGCTGGTGTGGTTGGAACGAAGAGGGTCCTGCTGAGTCTTCTCGCAAGGATGTTTGACCCTCTGGGTTTGCTTGTTCCGTACATGATGACCGCCAAAGTTCTGTTTCAGCGGCTTTGGATCCGGGGTCTGGCGTGGGACGATCCTCTGCCGCTGTCAGACTCCGATGTCTTTGAACGGTGGCTTTCTGGTGTCTCCGTTCTTCGACAGCTGAGTGTGCCCCGCTGTTACCTGGTGGGTGACGTGTGCTGGTCTGACGTGTCTGATCAGCTGGAGCTTCACGTGTTCGGTGACGCCAGTGAGAAGGGGTACGGGTGTGTGGCGTATGTCCGGTATCCACTACCCGATGGCAGCTTCACCACTTCGTTTGTGATGGCGCGAGCTCGTGTGGCTCCCGTGAAAACAGTCAGTCTTCCCAGGCTCGAGCTGTTGGCGTGCTTGTTGGTTGCACGTTTGGTAAAGCATGTGTGCTCTGCCCTGAGACTGTCTGACGTGCGGACGTTCTGTTGGACTGACTCGACTGTGGCCCTGGCTTGGGTGACGAGTCGTCCCTCCAAGTGGAGACAGTTTGTGAGAAACCGTGTAGAGGAAATTCAAACTCTGACTGACCCCTCTGTATGGTGTCATATCTCGGGCGTGCAGAACCCCGCTGATGCAGCCTCTCGTGGACTGTTCGCAGACCAGCTGTACGAGTCTGACCTCTGGTTCGGCGGACCTGCATGGCTAAGGGCGCCACGAGTCTCGCCCGTCGACTGCAGGTTGTTTGTGACAACCGAGGAGCTGGCCGAGTCGGACACGGGCGAACGGGAGACCGCCACTGGTGAGCCGGAGTGCTCTGGTGAGCGCTTGCCATGTCAGTGTGACGTGATTGGCGCGGAGTCGTCACCGGCGTTGGCTCTTACTCTGGAGTCTCACCCCGACTCGCCTACTTGCGGGAATGTGTTCACTGTTGAGCGATGGAGCACGTTGACGAAGGCCGTACGGGTAGCGGCGTGGGCGAGGCGTTTTGTGTGGAACGCGCGCCACCCTGACAGCCGCAACCTGTCACCTGAACTTTCGTACCGAGAGCTGTGTGTGGGTAAGGCTGACCTGATACGACAGGCACAGCGTACTAGTTATCCGCAAGAGTGTTCCGCGCTGGAACAGGGTAGGACTGTGTCCAAGAGTTCGCCTTTGTACAGGTTGTCGGCCTACCTGGCCGAGGACGGTCTCATTCGCATGAAGGGTCGTCTTCAGCTGTCCGACCTGTCAGTTGAGGAAAAGAACCCAATCATACTTCCAAAGTGTCATCTATCTCTATTGATCATTCGCTTTCAGCATAGGTTGATGAGTCACGCCGGTGTGGGCACCTTGTTGTCTGCTTTGCGGCGCACGTACTGGATCGTGTCTGCCCGCCGCATTGCCCGGTCCGTGAAGCGCGAGTGCGTGGCGTGTCAGCGACAGGACTCACAGCCGTGCTGTGAGCCGGCTGGTCAGCTTCCCCGAGTTCGAGTGACAGAGTCATCTCCCTTCTCTGTAACTGGCATCGATTTCGCGGGTCCGCTGTTCTCTGTTGATCAGCCTGGGAAAAAGTACTATATCTGCCTCTTCACATGCGCGACCACACGAGCTGTCCATTTGGAGATGACAGATTCTCTGTCGTTGCCGGCTTTTATTCTGGCCCTTCGACGGTTTGCGGCCAGACGTGGTTGGCCGGCCATCATCTTTTCTGACAATGCGGCCTCCTTCAGAGCGTGTGCGGCTCGTCTGAAGGAAACGATGGTGGACTCTGCTCCTGAGTGGAGATTTATTGTGCCCTCTGCTCCCTGGTACGGCGGCTGGTGGGAGCGGCTGGTTCGGTCCGTTAAGGTTGGATTGCGCAAGGCTTTGGGTAAGCGGTGCCTAACTTTGACTGAACTTGAGACTGTCCTTCTGGAGATAGAGTCGTGTATAAACTCCCGACCTCTGACATTTGTGAGTGATGACGTCACCTGTGCCGATCCGTTGACTCCCAATCATTTTCTGATTGGCCGTGGCTCTGTGTTCAGTCCTGATGTGATTGAGGACCCCGAGAACGTGTCTGTGAAGTCGCTCTACCAGCGTGAGTCTGTCCGCCGTGCTCGTCTGGAGCAGTTCTGGCAGGTGTGGAAGCGTGAGTATGTGCGTAACCTCCCTGCTGCCGTTCCCCGATTTAGTTCCCGAGGTGGTTTGCGGGTAGGATCGGTGGTGATGATCCAAAAGGACAACCAGCCCCGTCTGAGGTGGCCTTGGGGAGTGGTAGAGCGGGTGCATCCGGGTAGGGACGGTGTTGTGAGAAGTGTAGATGTGCGCACTGCTAAGGGCAGTTACACGTGTGCTATTCAGCGTCTGCACAATCTTGAGGTAGTCGATGACAGCCCTGATGGCGTCCCTCCGCCTTGTGGCGGTTCCCGTGCGCCTCCATGCGGTGCCGGCGCGGCGTTTGATGTGCCTGGTGGTGTCTGTGATGGTGTTGAGGCTCCATCTGTTGGTCCGGCTGGTGAGGACCCAAGTGCGAGGGAGCCCGAGGTTCGTACTCGATCGGGTCGCGTGTCTCGGCGCCCGCGGAGATATTAGTTAAGTTAATGGCTTGTGTTTGTTTGCGCCATGCGGTGTATTGTTTGATATTTGTTCGTACCATGGTGTTGAGTGCTCTCTGTCGCTGAGAGGCTCTCAAGGTGGGGAGTGTTGGATATTTAGCGTATGCCGTAGGTACTCTCTGCCTCTGTAGAGTAGATGGCGCTGGTGTTTGTAACACTTTTCGTAAACCTTGACGTTGATGTCGTGTGTGTCACGTGCCGAGGCGGAAGTGACGCCGTTTTGTTGTGTTTTGGGCACGCCACTTCTCTGACTGCCGGACCCATGTGCGGGTCGCTGTCAGTGTCAGCCAAATTTAACGTACTTGGGATGCGGAACATTAGTAACCTTTGAGCTCTTTATGCGGCTGGCCTTTGTGCCTTTTACTACTCCGCTTGATTCTGGGATCGTGATTGCCTTGCAATGCAAATGTGTGGCAATACAAGTCAAGTGAGACTTGAGAGTGTGAAAGTTTGAACCGGACTGAAGTCTTTAAGTAATAACTGGTTTATGCTTTAACTAAGTTCCAAGTTGAATACGATTTTGATTTTACGCGACATAATACTGCGACTCGAGTGGATCTTAAACATACAACACACACCCAATTCCAGGGTATCAAACTCCCCTGGTGAACTGCGCGTGAAGGATCCAATCTCCCGGGCTAACAAGGCTCTGATCAGTGGAATTCCATTCAGAGCGTAACATTCGTTTTCAGGTAGGTATTGTAGCCGAGTTGGTCGCCGCCGCGCCGGCCAGCGAGCAGCCCTGCTGGCGGAAATGAGGCTGTCTCTTGTGATCAGCCGCGGCGCCGAGCGAGGCGGGCCGGGGTCGGGGTCGTAGTCGGGGACGGGGCCGGGGGTTGAGACGGGTCGGTGAAAACCAGGGCAGCGGAGTCAGAGTCGGAGTCAATTTGGAGTCTGGATTCAGAGTCGGAGTCTGGGCCACAAAATAAATCATCGACTCCGCACACCTGTCAGGACTGGAGAGTCGGAGCCGGTCAAAATCGAGAGTTCTTCCCCGAGTCGGAGTCGATTTTCGTAAGCAGGAGTCGGAGTCGAAGTCACCGAGAATCCATCGACTCGGCAGCCGTGGTGGAAACAAATCACTGCCAGTTGCAGCTGCAGTGATGCGGAGGCGGTAGTGTCGCAGTAGTGACTCCCCGGTACGACGCACTGGACTCCTAGCAGCCACTGCGCACTTACCTCATAGTTGTTATTCGAACACGGTAAGGGACGGTCAGTCTGGATAAAACTTGGAGAGCGACAGATAAAGTCGATTGACAAAAATGACTGAAAGTTTGTCAAGAAGTTCAGGCATGTCAGTCTGCTCCACCACATTGTAAAAATGGGAGCGTGAATACGTAGGAAGAGTATAGGTTTAAAAAAACTTGTGAGCACAAAAGTCCTCATTTTCGTATGGAAAATAAAGTTAACACTTTCATTTTCGTTTCACCTCGAGACTGTCCTTTCGCCCTTTGGTGACCTTGCCGATGACTTTGTGTCTCTTGATAGCCCCGTTTGACCCCGCCACTGACCTTTCATCCTTTGGCGAGACTTGCTGATTCCGGCACTGACCTTTCGTCCTTTGATGACCCCATTTGACCCCGCCACTGACCTTTCATCCTTTGGCGAGACTCGCTGATTCCGGCACTGACCTTTCGTCCTTTGATGACCCCGTTTGACCCCGCCACTGACCTTTCATCCTTTGGCGAGACGCGCTGATTCCGGCACTGACCATTCGTCCTTTGATGACCCCGTTTGACCCCGCCACTGACCTTTCATCCTTTGGCGAGACTCGCTGATTCCGGCACTGACCTTTCGTCCTTTGATGACCCCGTTTGACCCCGCCACTGACCTTTCATCCTTTGGCGAGACTCGCTGATTCCGGCACTGACCTTTCGTCCTTTGATGACCCCATTTGACCCCGCCACTGACCTTTCATCCTTTGGCGAGACTCGCTGATGCCGGCACTGACCTTTCGTCCTTTGATGACCCCGTTTGACCCCGCCACTGACCTTTCATCCTTTGGCGAGACTCGCTGATTCCGGCACTGACCTTTCGTCCTTTGATGACCCCGTTTGACCCCGCCACTGACCTTTCATCCTTTGGCGAGACGCGCTGATTCCGGCACTGACCATTCGTCCTTTGATGACCCCGTTTGACCCCGCCACTGACCTTTCATCCTTTGGCGAGACGCGCTGATTCCGGCACTGACCATTCGTCCTTTGATGACCCCGTTTGACCCCGCCACTGACCTTTCATCCTTTGGCGAGACTTGCTGATTCCGGCACTGACCTTTCGTCCTTTGATGACCCCATTTGACCCCGCCACTGACCTTTCATCCTTTGGCGAGACTCGCTGATTCCGGCACTGACCTTTCGTCCTTTGATGACCCCGTTTGACCCCGCCACTGACCTTTCATCCTTTGGCGAGACGCGCTGATTCCGGCACTGACCATTCGTCCTTTGATGACCCCGTTTGACCCCGCCACTGACCTTTCATCCTTTGGCGAGACGCGCTGATTCCGGCACTGACCTTTCGTCCTTTGATGACCCCGTTTGACCCCGCCACTGACCTTTCATCCTTTGGCGAGACGCGCTGATTCCGGCACTGACCATTCGTCCTTTGATGACCCCGTTTGACCCCGCCACTGACCTTTCATCCTTTGGCGAGACGCGCTGATTCCGGCACTGACCATTCGTCCTTTGATGACCCCGTTTGACCCCGCCACTGACCTTTCATCCTTTGGCGAGACTTGCTGATTCCGGCACTGACCTTTCGTCCTTTGATGACCCCATTTGACCCCGCCACTGACCTTTCATCCTTTGGCGAGACTCGCTGATTCCGGCACTGACCTTTCGTCCTTTGATGACCCCGTTTGACCCCGCCACTGACCTTTCATCCTTTGGCGAGACGCGCTGATTCCGGCACTGACCTTTCGTCCTTTGATGACCCCGTTTGACCCCGCCACTGACCTTTCATCCTTTGGCGAGACGCGCTGATTCCGGCACTGACCATTCGTCCTTTGATGACCCCGTTTGACCCCGCCACTGACCTTTCATCCTTTGGCGAGACGCGCTGATTCCGGCACTGACCATTCGTCCTTTGATGACCCCGTTTGACCCCGCCACTGACCTTTCATCCTTTGGCGAGACTTGCTGATTCCGGCACTGACCTTTCGTCCTTTGATGACCCCATTTGACCCCGCCACTGACCTTTCATCCTTTGGCGAGACTCGCTGATTCCGGCACTGACCTTTCGTCCTTTGATGACCCCGTTTGACCCCGCCACTGACCTTTCATCCTTTGGCGAGACGCGCTGATTCCGGCACTGACCATTCGTCCTTTGATGACCCCGTTTGACCCCGCCACTGACCTTTCATCCTTTGGCGAGACGCGCTGATTCCGGCACTGACCTTTCGTCCTTTGATGACCCCGTTTGACCCCGCCACTGACCTTTCATCCTTTGGCGAGACGCGCTGATTCCGGCACTGACCATTCGTCCTTTGATGACCCCGTTTGACCCCGCCACTGACCTTTCATCCTTTGGCGAGACGCGCTGATTCCGGCACTGACCATTCGTCCTTTGATGACCCCGTTTGACCCCGCCACTGACCTTTCATCCTTTGGCGAGACTTGCTGATTCCGGCACTGACCTTTCGTCCTTTGATGACCCCATTTGACCCCGCCACTGACCTTTCATCCTTTGGCGAGACTCGCTGATTCCGGCACTGACCTTTCGTCCTTTGATGACCCCGTTTGACCCCGCCACTGACCTTTCATCCTTTGGCGAGACGCGCTGATTCCGGCACTGACCATTCGTCCTTTGATGACCCCGTTTGACCCCGCCACTGACCTTTCATCCTTTGCCGAGACTCGCTGATTCCGGCACTGACCTTTCGTCCTTTGATGACCCCGTTTGACCCCGCCACTGACCTTTCATCCTTTGGCGAGACTCGCTGATTCCGGCACTGACCTTTCGTCCTTTGATGACCCCGTTTGACCCCGCCACTGACCTTTCATCCTTTGGCGAGACGCGCTGATTCCGGCACTGACCTTTCGTCCTTTGATGACCCCGTTTGACCCCGCCACTGACCTTTCATCCTTTGGCGAGACTTGCTGATTCCGGCACTGACCTTTCGTCCTTTGATGACCCCATTTGACCCCGCCACTGACCTTTCATCCTTTGGCGAGACGCGCTGATTCCGGCACTGACCTTTCGTCCTTTGATGACCCCGTTTGACCCCGCCACTGACCTTTCATCCTTTGGCGAGACGCGCTGATTCCGGCACTGACCATTCGTCCTTTGATGACCCCGTTTGACCCCGCCACTGACCTTTCATCCTTTGGCGAGACTTGCTGATTCCGGCACTGACCTTTCGTCCTTTGATGACCCCGTTTGACCCCGCCACTGACCTTTCATCCTTTGGCGAGACACGCTGATTCCGGCACTGACCTTTCGTCCTTTGATGACCCCGTTTGACCCCGCCACTGACCTTTCATCCTTTGGCGAGACGCGCTGATTCCGGCACTGACCATTCGTCCTTTGATGACCCCGTTTGACCCCGCCACTGACCTTTCATCCTTTGGCGAGACACGCTGATTCCGGCACTGACCTTTCGTCCTTTGATGACCCCGTTTGACCCCGCCACTGACCTTTCATCCTTTGGCGAGACGCGCTGATTCCGGCACTGACCATTCGTCCTTTGATGACCCCATTTGACCCCGCCACTGACCTTTCATCCTTTGGCGAGACGCGCTGATTCCGGCACTGACCATTCGTCCTTTGATGACCCCATTTGACCCCGCCACTGACCTTTCATCCTTTGGCGAGACGCGCTGATTCCGGCACTGACCATTCGTCCTTTGATGACCCCATTTGACCCCGCCACTGACCTTTCATCCTTTGGCGAGACACGCACGGAGCTGGGTGACTCGGCCGATTTGCGTTTGCCGGGCCCCTCCATTTCGTACATGGGGTTCTCTATCAGCTCGTGATCGGTGCCATCGCTCCGACTCGCCTGCGACAGAGGTCGGGTCAGGTCAGAACTCAAATCAGGTCCGAGCAGCCGCCAGGTCAGCGGTAATGTCAAGTCAGCAGTTAGGTCAGTGCAGGCCAGCAGTCTGTTCAGGCCAGCCACCAGGCAGTCTGGGCACGGAAAGTCAGCCATGAGGCCATATATGGGCACGCCAGGTCAGGTCAGCTCAAGTCAGGTCAGGTTGTGTCAACTGAGGTTCAATGGCACTTATCTCCCGTAATAGAAAATATGGAAAGGTCACAAGTGGGGTCAACCAAGGTTGAGTCATAGTGACCGATCACACGAAAACCCGTATGGGTCACTTATCAGTCATGTAAGCACAGGTTAATAGGAAAACGTTAGACAAGGTCAGGTAATAAAATATAAAGCAAATCAAGAGATTGGGCAGGTTCAGTGATGTTTAGAAAACTTAGCTTGTTCGAAAGTACCTAATGTGCCGAACGACCAGTGAAGTTAACATGCTTTATTTTATTTTGAAAACGACTGGCGAAAGACTCAACATAGTTCCGATAACTTTTTAAAGGTTACGAGGGCAGGACTCTAGTAAAATGGCCGCGTAACAACCATGGAGATCGGCTAATGACTATACCAAAGGCAGATTGACAGTCATGCTATTGTAAAAGTCACCCACCGTTTAGGCCACAGGCTTCAAAACTAGACGGACCATGTCTGGTTAAAAAAGTTATCAAAGGCAAGCACCACTGAGCCAGACCACCACGCTATGCAATTCAGTCGACCTCGACCCCACCCAAAGGTCACAAGGTCACAATGAACGCCGAGCCACCAATACCCCACCACTCCACCCAAATCCATACATGCCGCCGAAGAGCGCCGTTCAACTAGCTCCGATCTATGTAGGTTCATCAGCATCGATTGACCTCCTCTTTGGGGTCATTGAGGTATATTGAGCCGGCGGCCGAGCAAACCGATTATAATCCCGGTCAACACTGGCCGCGTACTAGTTAAACATCGGTGAAAGATCAGGAGCGTCGGCAAACAGATGGCCTATCATCAGGGCGGTACAAACATGTAGCCGGAAATTGGACCCAAATACTGCTCCAGAGCGTAAGTGGAGGGTTGGTTCGAAATTGTAACATTTATCAGACCCGTGACTATGAGTCTGGCCGAAATGCAGCTACCGCGAGTTTAACGGTGCTCGTGCGTTGCCTTGAACCAGAGTTGGAGCCGATGTTCGGCTTGGGCGGGACAATAAGAGTTGGGTTTTCCGTATTTCAGTAACTTGACACGGGCCTGCACCGCTCACCAGTCGCCAACGCCATTCAACCTGCATCACGACCTCTGTCACTAAACTCAGATCATCCCGGTTAACGATCAATAGAGAAAAAGGGCCTGAGAGTTGTGGAGACTGCATATTCCACCAGTTTACCGCAACTGCTGAGACAAGCTGCTACTTTTCCCTCTGTCGAGCCCATCATTGTTCTCTGTTCACCAAACACCTTCGATTGAATGTGCTCATAGACAACATGTGCCTCATATCGCCCCGTCTGGCCGTCTCGATTAGCCCTATCCCCCCCCCCCCCATCCCCGCGCTGACGCCTGTGGATCCAGGCTGGCTGGCTGGCTTGGCTGTGGATCTCGCCACTTGGTGAGATGGGCGCAGGAGGCGGCACTGGGTAAACACAGAGGGACGGAGATGGTGGCAGAGCTCCTCCCACACAACACACACACAGAGGGGTGGAAATGAGCGAATGGATCACCGGGTAGGTGGTCTGTAGTGGCTCAGCATGCATGGATACCCATATTTTGTACTGAACGATGGCTTTTAAAACAGTTTTTTAGCCGGACAACCGAAGGACTATTATTTGTTTACTTTTATTCATCTTTGAATATTTGTTCCTTTTTCATGTCACTTAGTATGGATGCTTAATAATAATATCAGAGTCACAGTCCGACAGAATCATTATAATCATTATCAATTAATGTAAGTTTTAACTGCGTAGGTTCCTCTCCTAATAGCACCTCAATCAAAGGGCCATGTTCTTGGCCAGTGTTAGACAATTCAAAACAATGTCCCACTCGAGGTATCCTATACGAGGCCAGGAATGTTAAAAACTGTCATCAAACAGATTCTGTCCGCGAATCAGACAGAGGTCACGACAAGCCGTCCGGCAATGACGTAATAATGACGTCACAGTCCCCATTATAGATCCAATGAGACCCAGCGGGAGGCCTTACGACCTTAACGTGTCATCAGTGCCTCCCTGTGCGCCGAATTAAGCTTCAAAGTCAGCTCGGGATATCGTGACTACCGAGGCTAGCGCGCAGTGGTAAAGCGCTTGTCTCCGCAACAAGACATACACTCCACAGAGACTTGTTATTTGAGCACAGTACAGAACAGAGCATAGATCTAGCGCATTTACTGTTGTTATCATCACCTCATGTTAGAGGAAAAAAGCTACATAGTAGGGGAGAGTGGGGCACATTCGTGCATGGGGCACATTCGTTTTCAGCAGTTTATGGGAACACGAGTGACTGCACGAGCTCAAGGTAAATTATGGAAATATGTCTATCATTGCCGCCCTTCGTTCACCGTAGAAGACAACACTGTACCTGCTGTCATGCTTGATAAAAATGCAAATTTGTAATATTCGTGAGCTTTCCAAACTTTTCTCATATTATCCATTTTCGTGATCCTGACTCGGAAATGTGGTTCAGCTTTTCAAAATTGGGGGTGAAGAAGCTCACTCTATTCACGGAACTGCTGCAAACTTGTTTGTTGAAAAAGTGCCATTTTTTCAAAAAGAAATTTTGAAATATATTACTAATAACGTTGTGGGGCAGGTTCGTGTACGCACTGCCTGGGGGCACATTCGTGCATATTTTTTTTTTAGTTTTTTTGCGATTTATGACTTTATCTGTAGTAGGTTTCTCTAATGACGCTCGCCTGACTCAGTCTCGACTGCTTGCGACGTCGTGACGAGCAATTCACGCGAACTTGGCGAGGTCACGGAGGCCGGCAGTTGGCACATTCTTGTTGGCCAGCCCATTCTTTCTACATATGTTGTGCAATGCATTCTTGTCGAAAGGAATCAAGTGAAATGACCCCCTGCCAATTCTCTTTGGTAAATTTCTGGTAATGCCCGGTAATTTCTCGAACTTTGCAGGGTGAACGGAAGTGCCCCACATCTTGAACGAATGTGCCCCATAGGTGGGGCAGTTTCGTGCAAATGTTCAGAGTTATTAAAAGTCATTTTTTCTAATGGAAGCAATAATTTTAGAGGATAACTTTTAAGAGGAAAACTATCTGCAATAGTTCCTTTCCATACTACAATCAACAATTTTGCCATTGCACTAACCAAAGAACAGATATATGGGTTTATCCATTTTTTGCACGAATGTGCCCCACTCTCCCCTACATAGTCGAGAAAGGGTTTCATCACAGATCAGCTTTGAACCCAGAAACAACAGGGTGAACGCACTACCTAATCGATGATACGATAGGTTGGCTCAATCAAGCACAGCAAGCTTAGCGAGAAATCCAGCTTGAGCAATGAGCTTTGGGGACCATCCAATCAATGAATGGGGCGAGTATGATGCAATATTCCATTGGTCATCCGCATTGAGAGACGTGTATGATGAAATCGTCCCAAAACTTAGGCGTTATTCTTAGCGGCACACTATTACAAATGAAATTAAACAAATAATAAAACTCGGGCTCAACGAATTAACCAACCAATTATGCAAAATGTACAGCTAATTTAATAATATTGCATTTTAGACTGATGCGCCACTGCATAATTTAGTCGAGAAGCAATGCTGCACCACCGATTTATTTCTAAAACTGCTAAGTGCTAACTTTGTGGTTTAGTGCTATTTTGGGCGATAACACTATCCGATATGGGGTCATGAATACAATGAGCCTGATTCCTGAAAGTACAGAAATCTTTGAAAAAAGAGCTGTCAAAGGTGTCAGAAAATGCGTATAAGGATTAAAACTATAAGGTAAAGTATAAGGATTAAAACTGGCTGGCAAAATGCGTGAACAAGTGTAAAATATCCACGGAATGACAGCACCTCAAATTTCGCGAAGAGCCTATGAGATGGGATTTTATCAGGCGTCAATATCAGAAGCTGGTACAAAGGGATGTTTGAAAAGGAGCTAGCAAAAATAAAAATGAATAAAACAAAATATTAGTGGCGATTGAAAGACATATTGCAGCAAAACTCTCTATTCCAAGCTCAGTGCCTCTGAGCGGCTGTTACGAGGGAACAGACCACCGCAAAGTCACGTGACGCACCCACCTGCGACTCTCGGCGCGAGTCTGCCGATGTCACGTGACTGGCCCGCGACGGCGTGACGTCATCGACGCCCGAGCCCGGCGTACCGCCCGAGGCGTCAGAGACGGAGCTCATGCCTCCATCTCACACCTGAGAGAGGACAGAGACAGTCTGTTAGAACATATACATACAGAAGTCAGAGACGGAGCTCATGCCTCAATCTCACACCTGATAGAGGACAGAGAAGGAAACAATGTCAGACCTAGGTACAGACATTAGCTGGGCAGGAAAAATACGCATACTTTTCAAATTTGTAGACAAGCGACAAGATCGGACAGCTCACGCTTAATTAACACTCGGGCAAAAAGGTCAGACAGGAAGAGTCAGACAGACACCTCATGGACAAGTCAAAGTCACAACAAAACCACGTCTTATGTAGCCACTCAGGTAGGCCTGGTCACTTTCTAGTGTCGGTAAATTTGTGAATTAAAACACAAAAAGGGTAAGACAAATGAAATATTTCAGCATATGTATTGCGTGCGGTTTGTTTTGGTACTGTGGACAACCCAGTGCCTGAAGACGACAAACATCAGACCCCTCGGTGACAAACAAACACCGTATGAAGTAAGCATCAATAATGTATGAGCCAAGTGCCGGTAAACAACTGCGTTTTAATGCAGCTGGGCCATTCTGCGACCCTAAACAGCTCGGGCACCTCGCTGTTCGCAAACAACAGTCGCGCCACCCGCCGGTTGCTTAAGTGGTCGGGGTGTGCTGCACAACAAAGGAGACATACATAAGCACTGGGCGATTCTAGCAGCCTCGATGCCTTTAGAATATTGTTGGGAGTGTTGTTCATTATCTAAATGGATACCGTACCGCGGTAGGCCTACCATAAACCATTCATTGAATGTCCAGCATACAGGGTGTTGCAGGTAAATTGGGAATTTTCAGACCTAATTTCAACATGCTATTAATACGGTGAATGAAAACATAGAAAGTTGACACTTCGCACGTGTATTGTGTCATGTACGCACAGCCTTGTCACTCGATGTGACCGCCGTCGGCGTCCCGCACCCTCTCGAGACGGCGCCGGAAAGCGGAGCACGCGCGCCGGGCCTCGTCCTGGTCAATGGTGCTGACTGCCTTCCTGATGGCCTTCTTCAGGTCAGAAACGTTGGCATGAGTGGTCGAGTTGGACTTTTGTTCTACCACGCCCCACATCCAGAAGTCGCATGGATTCAAGTCAGGCGAGTTGGAGGGCCATATGTCCTTGGGTACATAAAGGGGGATCCTCTGGCTCAGGAAATCTTGCACCCTCTGGGAAGCATGTGCTGGGGCGGAGTCTTGCACCAGCATGACCTTGCTCAGGTCATAGTATTTCATCATCCAGGGGATGAGAGACTCCTTCAGGATGGTCAAATACGCGTCAGTGTCGATCATCACACCAGCAGGTATGAAATGGGGCGGCATTATGCGGCCATCACTTGCGACGGCCCCGAATACCATCACTGATGCCGGATTTTTGCCTTTCATCACGGGAGCCACTTCATCAGGGCTGTAGGCGATAGCCCGCGAGTTCCGGCGGTTGGCGACCTCTTCTACGATGAACTTTTTCTCATCGACAAATACCCTGACGTCACTCCCGAGGTGCTTGAGGAGATTGAGGACCTTCGGTGCCCTCTCCCTTCGTATCGCCCTTGCTGGTTCGGTCAGGAGGCTTCGTCGTTTTCTGGTAAACGACTTCATCCCGAGGTCCTCTCTCACGGCTCTGCTGATGGTGCTCTTGCTCACGTGACGGGCACGCGCAAGCTTGTTCATCGAGGTCCTCGGTTTGGCCTGTATCGAGCGTTTCAAGCCGCTCAGGAATCTTGGTGTCCGTTTTCGGTCACTGCGAGGTGTGTGAGAACGTCGAGCGACATCCCCTCCAGCTCCTACAGTCGCGATAGTTCGGTACACGGTAGACTTTGGGTACCCAGTTAAACTTATTATGTCCTTCGCGCTCTGTCCGGCGCGAACTAACTCACCAATCGTTTCCCTCCGACGCTGCTCCATGACTGCGCGATATGTTAGGATTAAAATTTCAATATCAAATGAAAAACAATTGTTGAAATTATATTGTGTCAAATTTCCATGATGTTCCTCCGCATAGCAAATCTTTTGTAAGGTCATGAACTTAGTCCCAATTTACCTGCAACACCCTGTAGATGCATGGAGATGCAAGTGCAGCACTGCATGTACTGATGCTAGCATCAGTTCGTGACATTATCAACATTCATTTCTATCGAGCTGCATGCTGAACGAAGAGTCATTTTCAGTAGACATCACACATGCAGCTTATTTAAAAAGGTGAAAGTATAGCAGAAAAAGTATAAACCACTGATAGCACAGTAGCTATAGCGACTTTATCCAAAAGGCGTCATGAATTCGAGCTTTTGTGTAGGGGAGAGTGGGGTAATTTGGCCGGTGGTGTAAATTGGCCGCCCCCACCTGTACGATGTCTTATAAAAGTGAGTGAAATAACTCTAGTCTCTATTCATTTGTCATGGGTAGAAATAACTGGAGGACAAATGTCAAAACTTTGCCCCTCGTAGTTTTATTCAAAATTAATAAAACGTTAATTTCATTAGAAAATGGTAACTTTTACTTCTGTTTACAAAGTTGTATAACATGTAGTATTTGGGCTAAAAACGAATTCAGACATTATAGCGCCATTCTTGGGGGTGTTCAGCGGTTCCAAGAGCAATTTTATCTAATTCCGTAAAGCCGTGATGACTTTATAGACATAAATTTTCAGAATGGCAATATGGGGTAATTTGGCCGGGACTAGTGGGGCAACTTGGCCGGTGCGCTCATGGTCACTATGCTGGGACGGCCGAGTTTTCATGGTCAATTGTACCATAAATGACATGATTCATGACCAACTTTGACTACTTTGATGCCTTACTTCCGATTGGTCAACTGTAAGAGCATGTGACGTCATCAAAGGCTACCAAACGTTTTTTTGCTAATAAATCCTTACATAAAAATGGTACAGCCGCACAAATGGTCTCATTCTGTTCAGCTCGCCAAGGCGCATCGAATGATATGCATGATGACCTTGAAATCACGTGACCTTGAGGTTAAGCGACCTGATGCAACGTGACCTGAGGTCAACCTTTGACCTTGACTTCTCAAGGTCAACACATATATCTTTCGATGCGGACTGACGAGAGAATTACGATGGTACTCAAAGTTTTGGCCTAGCTTGATTACTTCAAAAGTTATTCGTAAAAAACGGTGATCGCATCTAGAGCCGCTAATTTGGCTATTTTGACCCCTGTGACCCCTGAGCCAACCTCCAAAATGCAGCAAATGCGTCATAGGACAAACGTCATTGCTGAATCTGAAGCTGACTCGCAATATAACAGAAAATCCCGACCGCAAACTAGCACCGGCCAAATTGCCCCACACCCCCGGCCAAATAACCCTGCTAGTGGGGCAATTTGGCCGCCTTGCAGACCTTTGTAATACGTCACAATTTCAATATAAGTAATTACTCTATCATTTAAAGTTCACTGTCCAGTAAAGTAAAATGAATGCGACACCTGCCAGCGTTGAGAAAATGCAGAAATGTGTCGTCAATTTTAAGTTATATCGTTTTCTAAAAAAAGCGGCCAAATTACCCCACTCTCCCCTATCCCACCACAGTGACCATTGTCCCACTGATGCCCTATACTAATACAAACCCCATCACTCTCCCATCCATCCCACCAAGCATTCCACCAGACTCCTAAAGGTCAATCCCACCACCATCACCCCATTCATCCCACCACACATCCCACCGGAGCCCTATGCGTGTATCCCATCACTCTCCCATCCATCCCACCAAACTCCTAAAGGTCAATCCCACCATCACCCCATCCATCCCACCACACATCCCACCGGAGCCCTATACGTGTATCCCATCACTCTCCCATCCATCCCACCACACTCCTAAAGGTCAAAATCCCCCATCAACCCTCCAACCCACCACACATCCCCCGAGCCCGCGGCGCGTTCGATCCTCCCACTGCCGTCACTAGTACAGATCGATGGTCAGTGCCCGGCAGCGGCCTACCAGCTGCTACCACAGAGCGATGACCATAGCTGCTGCCGCTGCCGCCATACGACAGCCGGCCAGCGGGACCGCCTGTGTGAGCCATGGGGAGGCTGGATCGGGTGTGGGCAATGGGAGACAGATGTGGAGAGGGTGGTAGGCAGTGGACAAGGGGTGTCCGGGCATACGGACTAGTAGCATGGTGGTTGTTACTGGTTAGAGTCGTGGGCCGTGGATGAAGAGACGCTGCTCAAAACCTAGGGCGAATGGTGCATTTATCACCACTGGTCGAAATGGTGCACCGCAACGCGCATACAT